TCCATGTAAAAATATGGGTGGGTGATATGGCAAAAATTATATCACAGTACTTTTCTGAGATTTGATGAGGTGGAACAGACAATAAAACACTCACTTTGTAGTGGAATACTTATAGTACCAGTGTTGCTCTTGAGGCTCACAGCAGTTCTCATTTGCAGTGGTTGTTTTTTAATGTGTTGTATCCAGACCCCTTCACATTTTCCTCATTTTCTTACATTACAGTCTTACACTAAAATGGATTGAAGTCATTTTTTCTTCTTATCTATCAGCCCAAATCTGATTATCAGTGGTCATCATGCTTTTACAGCTTGATTAGTTCTCCTGTGGTAAATTCAGTTGATTGGAATTGATCTAACAGTGCATGTGCGAAGGAACGTTGTAGACAAGATTGTCAAGACACAGCTAATTACAGCTGTGTAAGGGGTCTTTTTGAATCTGATTAAATGTGATATTTTCAGTTTAATGTTTTGTATGAAGTTAGAAAGCCTTTTTGAAAACCTACATATGCTTTTTTAAAAAATATTTTTTAGTATTTTTGCAGATTGATGAGAAAAAATGAGCTTAATCTATTTTAGAGGCTAAGGGCTGTAACATGCAGTGAAGAAAAAAGGGGTGTGAATAATTGCTGAAAGCACCTTAGCAACTTATACAGGCAACAAAAGCTGATTAACATAAGCAACATTCAGGATTTGCTCTACCAAATCCTGAATGTCCTATATGTTCTGTAAGTTTGCAGTCTTTCCATTCTTAGCCCTGCATGTGCTTTAATCACAGGGCCTGGAGGGAAGCTGTGTTCCACATATTTCTCTATAGTTACTTTCTTACAATATGTTCCACAGTGATGTGGGTCACATTCTTTGTACTTTTTTAATTATAAGAGAAGCTTGATTTTATAACTCCCCCAGATGATGCTGAGAACGGTGACCATGTTGCTGTGAAAAAGCAGCAACAGATACTTAAAAGAAAAGGTTGATCTTCAGAAAGACAGTGTGGCATATTTGGCTAAATACAGTGGTTGTGTACAGGTTAGATGGGATATATTCCTAACTCACATTTGTTAAGGGGATGTTAGGTTAGGGTTTACATACAGGTTTAGGCTCTGCTGAGTAATTTACAAGGTTTAATATCTCAATTTCTCATAAATTCATCTTTGTTTTTTTTTATTTTATAAAAAGTTATGTCACATAATGTGTACACAGCATGCACTTGTATTACACATCTTTAGATAAAAATAAAATAATCTATTCATTTGCTTTTTTCAGCCTCCACACAGTAACAGGAGGTCAGTAATGTCACCCTGTGAAGAGAGCAGTCAGATGTAAAATTGTTACAACCCCAACACAAACCTCATATCACCTCACAAACAAATAAAAACTGTATTCCACTCATATCAAAATACAATCAGCAGGTCTACAAAGCCACTGTTTTGGTCAAATGCTTTAGTTTTGTTCTTGTTGAGAAAATAGTACTCAAAACCAACAGTTTGCTTATTGTAACTGAATCTGCAGAGCAAACTGAAAAAGTCTCACCTTTGTTTTAGGGCCAGAAAATGAAACAAGTAGAACAGGAACCTTTCCCACTATGGTATGTATGTCCTATGCGTTTTGTAGCCAGTGGTCTACAAGTCAGGGTATTGGTATTGACATTTAATGAAGCTTATGATGGATTGTATTAAAATAATTCAAAAATAAGGTTTGTTCAGGCAGCTCTCATGGGCGTTGCTAGGCCAATTTTAGCAGGACTTGAGCCCCTGCAAAATCACATTTAGCCCCCTTCCTGGGTAATTCCAGTCATCTGAGTAATCCAAATCATCTATACTTTATTCTCATTCACAATATACTGTAATGACCAGGCGCGGCCTGGGGGAGGCGCTGCTGCTCTAATGCAGCCCTGCCTCTGTGGTCCTACCTGTGATTGACTAACGTTACATTTGGCCAATCATAAAGGACTTCATGCGCATCTAAACCAATCATATCAGACCTTAAACGCTGTCAGCCAATCATATCAGACCTGGGGGAGGGTCTCTGTTTGTGCACTGCAAAGTAATGGGTAGCCGAGCTGAAGTCAGGATTGTGGCTTAAAGCTCACTAAAATGAACGTTAGATCTTAGGATCTATAGTGTACAGAGTGAAACCACAGTATCACCTATAATATGGATTTGTGACTATTTATGGTCAGTATAGCTGGATATGTGTTATTTTACTTGGTTGTTTGTTAAGTCTAGCTAGTTAACATTAGTTAACTTTGGGTTTAAGTGAGGTAAAGAAAAGAAGCCAGGCTAACAATGACATTAGCTAACTAGCTAGCTTAGCTGACAAGCCAACTAGTTTAGTGAGTGTGAACGAACAAGATAGAAATAACGTTAATGAGAGCTCTTTATATTCTTCGTTTTCAGATTTCTCTTAAGTATTTGGAAAGAATGAGACCAGTATTGGCCATGTATTGCTGTTTAGCTACAGTAAGTTAATGTCAGTGAAAGGGACGAGGCGGTAGCTGCTTCGTCTGCCTCCAGACTCTTCTCGAATTTTCCAGCTGCGAGGCGCCAGAATGAAACTGCTGCTGCATTTAAGGTGGAAGATTCAAACAAGAAACCATCCGTAGCCTCTTATGCTCCTCAGAACCACCGGTGGCTCCAGAATGCTCCAAAATGCACTTCGTCACATTCTTCATAACTTTCATATTTCATAAGCTACATTCAAAAGGTGGGGGTCGATATGAGAGCTGTAACTGTCTTCTTTCCAGTCAAATAGATGGGTAATGCAATTTTAAACCCTCATAATAAAAGAAGCTGAACTCACGATTTTTTTTTGGTCTACTGAAATTCGACCCATTTTTCCACAAATCTGGGCTATAAACTATAAACAGATGGCGTCTCTTCAGTGATCTGCTCTGTAAAAATTATTTTTATAAAATAATACAAAGAGCGTCTAAGATTTTTGGCTTTCAGCAGTAAATTGTAAGCATATAGCAATATGTTTATGATCATAAAACACGTTCTGTTAATTTGAGGGAAACTTTTACGATAAATAAATAAATAAAATAAAAATGCAGTTACTGAATAATTTGCCTTAAGATTTGGTCATGTTAATTTCAGATGGACAAACCAAAATATACCCTGGAGCATAAGAGGTTAAGCTCTGTGTTAAAAGGTCATCATAACACAATTTTATATTCCTCAATTCCTCAACCTGTTAATGGAAATTAAGAGGCGGCAGCTCCGTCGAAGGCCAGTCAGATGAGAAGATTTTGTACTCAAAAAATAAAAAAAAGGCATCGAAATCATTATTTTCTTGGCTTATTGTATATCTGAGTTTAATAAAAGTATTGTAACACTAAACACAGGAAGAGAAGCAGAGGAAGAAGCTCAAGGAGGTTAGTGATCAAGAAGAAAGAGAGAGTCATAAAAGCTTTTGGTTAAAATTAATGCTGAACTTAATTGAACTTAGCTGAGAAAATATAATATTTGTCACCATGACCATGAAATTCCATCACTTAGCTTATTAAACATGCCTACAGAGCAAAATCACACTCTTTCTGATTGTACAAACTGAGACTGATCTATAATCTGTGTTTTTGAATAATATATTTAGGCCCTTGCAGCTGGACTTAAGTACCTTTGCTTGATCTGTGCCTGTTTTAAGTGGATGGATATAGTATTTGTTATATTGGCTCTGTGCTTAATACAAACTACGAAGAGACAGATTTACTGTGTGCCAGCTTGACCAAATATCCATTTCTTGATATACATAACACGGCTGATGTACTTGACATTTTCTGGCTGTTGCTATTTTAAAGCGCATTATAAACATTTTGGGGCCATCAAAAATTCTGGTTTGGGACCATGCCCCCAGAACCCCCTAGTGCAGGCTTCGTGCCCCCCCCGATCCATGAACTTCTAGTGACGACCCTGCCCACTGGACACTTTTGGTTTCATACATCATAGATTTTCATAGAGATACTATGTCTGTGCTGATATCTGTCAGTCAGATCATGTGTCACAGCACAGTACATGGGCTGCTGTTGATGGGAATTGATCCACAGCCCAGACTATCCCAGGTTTCTCTAGATTTTTTTCTGCATCGTCAGAAGAATCTGACACTGCAGCCTTCCTTCTACATTAGACAGCAAGTGTTGGCTATCTGATTGTCTGGGTGTTGCTGCTTGACATTGTTGATCATGTGATTAACATGTTAACACTTCCAGCTTTACTTCCTTAAATCTATCCATTATATCAGTGATTAAATCTTAAATGTTGATACATTAGTGTCTGAATGTCTGAATCCACGACTGGGAACTAATATTTATTCATGTTAAAATATTTGAACTCAAACGTAGATATTTCTGCAGAAATTGGGCAATCCACATCATTCCAGCTCCCTTTTACACGACTAACTCTGATAGCTCATTGTATTTGAGAGCCAATTACTCTGATTTTGTTTCTGGAGGAAGAGAAAAATTTCAGATGTTCATACTCAGGGAGGTGTTATGTGAGCTGTGTGTGTGTGAAGATCTGACAACAGGCAGTTAGAAGAGCTTTATGTTTTATTGAGTTTGGGTCAGCCTGTCTAACTTTAGAGGGACATTTCCTTTAAGCATTAAATTGATGAATTTTAAATAATGATGTCTGTGTGATTTCACATTATGATTAAACGTACTTGGTTGAGGTATTGTTTGTGTTATTGTGGTTGTGGTTGATGCTGTGTTTTCTGGTGCGGCACTTGTTGGCGTTGGGATGTTTGGTGCTGTTGTTGTTTCAACTGGTCTGGCTGTTGCTGAAATGGTTTGGACATGCCCGGTTGTAGTTTGGACAGGCCCAGGCGCACATTTAAATATTGTGGTTTTAATAGTAGTCTTTGGAGTGGTGGTATTTGGAGCTGTAGTTGTTCTGCTGTCTGTAGTGAAAAGTTCAAATTTGTTAAATTTACTATAGACCCAGTTAGAATACCGACCATTACTTGAGCCCAAGGGGAAGTCAAGAGAATGAACATGCAGAGTCAATGTATTGTCTCCAATCTCCGAGTTTATTAAAAAACACACAGAGCTATGTATATACAGCAGTTGACACGCAACTCTTGCACCCACACCCTCCCCTCTCCTTTGCTGTTCTTTAGCCCATGCCTCTGCCTCAAGCCTCTCCATCCTAACTTTGTTTTCCTGCCTGAGGCGAGGACGCAGTTCATCTTGTAGTTTCTCTATGCTTAGAGGAGTTAAGGGGATAGAAAAGTCAAGAACAGTTTGTTCTTGCATACATAAGCACTTCTGAGGAACCCTCTCCTGCTGACAGGTTTAGACACAGACTAGACAGGCTTCAATCAGATTTTAAAGTTATGCACGATGATCTTAAGGTTAGACACAGCAATGTTAGACACAGATTTGCGTTTTCCATCACCCCCCCTTTTTATGATTTTTTCCACAATCATAAATCAGAAAATGCAAAAGATAAAAGCATCCAAAAGTATGTTCTGCTTTCAGCCTAGGCATCATAACTAGTGCATTATAAAAATTATATCATGTTTCTATGCCACTTCACTTTCTTTTTCATACTCAGCATAGAGAATGTGGGGTAAGTCATCAAGGTGATTGGACTCCGGTGTGATATCTACTTTTAACCCATTCAGTTTAGGTGAGGCAGATTTATCAAATCTGGAAAGCAAAATAAATGAATTAATAAATAATGAGAAGCAAAAATATTGCTTATTATTATTGAATTATTACTGCTAGAATAACAAGACACTTTTATAATTAACAAAAAATAAAATAATATAAAACAACAACAACAACAAATGTGTATGTCCATTTTTGGAAAACGTGTCCACACAAATAAAGCAATGTATTTTATGGACCTGTAAGCTGTTTTCCAATGTGTCATCAAATCACTTTTCCTAAATTTAAATTCTGGCATAGTTCTTGATAGTAGAAAAATACCTTTACAAGATCCTCTGTGTAGAGAGATGTCGTCCACGGCAACGTCAGACCAAGCATTAGCACCTCTGCGTCCTTCAAAGATAATCTAACAGTACAGCAACATTTGTAGATTTAATAGATGAAATAAATAATTAAAAACAAAATCTTCCTCTCTCTCAGACACAGGAACATGGTGGCTGGAACTAGTATGCAGGGCTGTTCAGTATTTTCTTATGGCCAACCGTAAAATTACTTCAGAATGACCTGATATTAAATACAGTTTCACTGTTAATATGTTTTTTGGGTTTTTACAGGTTTGAAAAACACACAAAACAGTAATGGAAACCAGTCTGAGAGCTGTAATTAATGATACTGCTATAACAATCTCACTGACCTTGAAGTTGCCTTGGGGTGTGAGGTCGACTAGAGCGCGATGCCAGATGTTCCCTTTGTTTTCTCTCTGTCTCCAGACCTCCTGGGCCTGGTTTCCATGCAGCAGGTAGACGGTCAGGCCCATGGTCCAGCTGGAACCGTACATGTGGTACCAGAACTGCAGACACTGTGGCTGCTGGTCAGTGCATTCTTCACTGAGGAGACGTGCTGTATCGCCATGAGTGGCGCTGTCCCCCTCAATGTAGATGTAGTGACCACCTGGAGAAGAAGAGGAGGATGAGGAGAGATGAATGGAGAGAGATGGAAAAGGTTAGTATAACACTGCTTTGATGTGAACTGTAACATGGAAACTGGCCTCTATTTTTTAAGACAATAAATAGTTAATCTATAATTAGTTTGCAAATTAGGATACTGACTTCCGTTTGTGTGGTCAGAGGAAGGACCAGTAAATGCCGTGGGGGTGGAGCCACTGTGTCTTGTCCAATCAAAAACATCAGCCCTTATCTGATGCCAAGTGCAGAGTTCATTCTCAAAATTGCAGTTGATTCTGCACACTGTGAAATGTTTTGATAACAAACAATAAAAACAATCAACACAGCAATTATTCAAACTTTTTGGGACTCTGTAATAGACAACAAAATGTTTAGACCAAATGCTAATATAATTTTATGATATTAGCATAAAAATTGGAATGCTCTACTGGGATAACGTTAATATTGTGGTTAAATGCGCTTCGTACCTGGATGGTCGTTCTGTGGTGGAATTGTGGGAAAAAGATCTGTAGCAGAGATTGAATCATTATATGCAATGTTTTATGAAAGGAGGTTCTTTTTTCTAAAAAAAACAACATCCCGAACTTTTATTGTGAAATAATATAATGATGTTTATTCCACACAGTTTAAGGACCATTTCTGTTGGTGCATTCATCAAACTCTTGTATATCTTGTGTATATATATATATATATATATATATATATATATATACACACACACACACACACACATTCACCATATACAACCTCGTTTCCAAAAAAGCTGGGACAGGGGCAACCAAAAAACTGTTAAAGTTATGTAAAGTTAAAAAAGAAACACCTGGTGGAACATCTCACAGTTAATTAGGTTAATTGACCACAGCTCAGTAACATGATTGGGTATAAAAGAGCATCCCCGAGAGGCTGAGACTTTCAGAAGTAAAGATGGGGAGAGGTTTACATGTGCAGGCAAACAGTGCAACAATATAAGCTGTTAAGCAGCTGAAATCCTATATCAAACAAGAATGGTAACTTTTAAAACTACAGCAATTGATCTCCTTAGTATCCAAATGCTTACAGAGTGTTGTTAAAAGAGGAGGAGATGCAGCATAGTGGTAAACATGGCCTTGTCCCAGCTTTTTTGGAACGTGTTGTTAACATCAACATTTTTCAAAACCAATACAATTCCTCAGTTTTAACATTTGATATGTTTTTGTACTATTTTCAATTAATAATAAAGTTTAAATGATCATTGCATTCTGGTTTATTAATATTCAGCATAACGTCCCAACTTATAAACGGGCTTGTGTGTGTGTGTGTGTAGTTGTTTTGTTTTACTATTACTATTAACCATTTCCTTAACCTCAAATTCTGACATAGATCTATTTAGTGGAAAGTCAGTGGTACCTTCACAAGTTCCTCTGTGTAGAGAGATGTCATCTACAGCTACATCAGATCTGGCATCATCACCTCTGCGTCCTTCAAAGATAATCTGAAAGCACAACAACATTTGTCGATTCAGTAAAGGAGTTATTTTTTTTTTAAATACATAAAACTGTAATGCAAATTAATGAGTGTTAATTACTTTGCTAAAACCTCTAACTGACCTTAAAGTTGCCCTCTGGTATGAGGTTCACCAGAGCACGATGCCAGGTGTTCCCTTTGCCTTCTCTCTGTCTCCAGACCTCTCGGGCCTCGTTGCCATGCAACAGGTAGACGGTCAGGCCCATGGTCCAGCTGGAACCGTACATGTGGTACCAGAACTGCAGGCACTGCGGCTGCCGGTCAGAGCATTCCTTACTGAGGAGACGTGCTGTATCGCCATGAGTGGCACTGTCCCCCTCAATGTAGATGTAGTGACCACCTGGAGAAGAAGAGGAGGATGAGGAGAGATGAATGGAGAGAGGTGGAAATGGTGAGTATAACACTGATTTGATGTGAACTGAGCAGAGATCAAAATCTACAGTATAATGATTTGGTGAAACTGGCCTGTTTCCTCTAAAAACAGTGCACTTTCTATTTATTTAAGACAATATATAATTAATATATAATTAGCTGGGATACTGACTTCCTGTTGTGTGGTCAGAGGAAGGTCCAGTCAAGAGCGTGGGGGTGGAGCCACTGTGTCTCGTCCAATCAAAAACATCAGCCAGTAACTGATTCCAGGTGCAGAGGTCTTTCTCAAAGTCACAGTCGATTCTGCACACTGTCAAATATTTCAATATAGTTATACATTATTTTTGGTACACTATAATCAAAAACAAAAATGTGAAGAATGTATTACTGAAAACACAACTATTCCAGTATAAGAATTGAATGTTAATACTGTGTTAAGTTTAATATGTTAACTGGTATGCTTTGTACCTGGATGGTAGTTGTTGGCACCTCTTCTCTTAGGGGAAATTGTGGAAACTATGCTGGGAGGAGCTGCTGTTTGAGTTCCAATGAAAAAGAATGAATGAAAACATGATTGAAAGACTTAAACTAAAAAGAAAAAAGTATAATACATTGGTTTTATTTAAATTAAATATTAAATATGTGCTGAGAGTGTCACACTCTGGTATCTCAGAAACGCTGTTTACTAAAAGTAGCAGTACAAAACTATAACCCTTGTGTGGTGTTGATGTGTTTGTTGCTCAGTGGTCTGGTAGACCCACCACATTATTGTTTTTAAATAAGTACAGCCATAACAATTTATGTAAAAATACCAGATGTTTAAAATATCACAAGTGGCCAGCGTAGGGCTCTCCTTTAGCAGCTGTAGCCAGTCAGCAGCCTGTCCATGTTGTCCACCCTCACACACACACACACACACACACACACATATTCAAACACATACACACACAGACACACACACACTAACAGCAGGCGATGTAGGAAGAGAACCGAGTGAAGGACACAGCGCCTCCACACTTTTATTCCCCACAGGTTCACCCAACACCACATGTGTATATAAATGTGTAGGGGGTGAACAGAGTGAAGACACTGATAATGTGTAATTTTATTTTTTCTTCACAGAAAATGAGCAAAGGCCAAGTAATCTGGGGTTGAAATAAAATATCGCATAATTTTTTCTTTTGGTAAACATTGAAAATGGGTTCCACAGACCTGAACACCACACAAGGGTTAAATGTTATCTTTATTCTTTTTTTTTTTAATTAATTTTTTTAAGAAACCTAAAAATATAAGGAACTGCATCCTCACAAGACAGACTTTTTGTCAAAGTGTCCCGTTCATTCTGTCCCTTAACGTGGCAAAGAGCTACTTGGACAGGAATGTGGCTTTTGATTGACATTTAAAATAACCAACCACAGAACATTGTTTTTGCATGATGTGTGAGGCAGGCAACTTTCAAGCTTATTTCACATGAAAGCTACTAAATACTTAATGCTTGAAAAATGATGCTGTGAAAGTTTTACAATCCATCATCTATATATAGCTTCAGAAGACTCAGTCATGAAGCGCAAAGCAGGTAACTGCTTGCAAAAGATCATTCTTCTATGGGACTGATAAAACCTGCTGCACATAAGTGCCTTTATAGTAACAGGCGAGTAGCCAATGAAAACAGAACTGACAAAATCCTGATGGTTTTGGCCATCTTAGCTTACTATAGACAGCAGACACTCCCTGTGCTGTGAAATGCAAAAGTCAAATTACATGTTTTGTTGATATTCTGAGTGAATATAAGTTAACATATCCTCTACAGAGAACGCAAAGTATTTTTACACAAATTCCTTTGCTGAGTTTAACATATCGTGGCTGTTGGAACAAAACCTTGTATCTCCAAAAGGGTGACTTTACAGGAGAAAGATAAACCTTCTTAATTGTAAATGGCAGTTAAGGATCCAGATTTTTTCAAGATTTTAGAGCATTTTCATTGGTCTATTCATCACAAAACTTTAACACATGGTATAGTCTAAGTGTGTAAAGCAATTCAAGGCCATTTAGTTATAATATCATAGTGAAAATAATGGGAGTTAACTCTGAGGGGGATGCATGACTTACTTGCAGCAGCAGGAGTTGGAGTGTTGGGGATTTCTGGGACACATGAATCTGTGTTTTGCGATTTGACTGTCGTGGTCTCTTTAGATGGGTGTGGAGTTGTTGTTCTGATGCTGACTGGGGTGCTTATTATCGGATGCTCAGGTTTGGATGGGGTAGGAATGCTTTTTAGTAAATCTAGGTAGAAAAAGATAAATAATAATACTACTACTACTAATAATAATAATGATAATAAATCATTGAAATTGTTTTAGTGACACTATTGCTACCTCGTTATTGCAATTATTAATGAAAGTGTATATATATATATATATATATATATGTATATATATATCACATAACATACATCTATAAACCATTTCCTTAACCTCAAATTCTGACAGTTCTTATTAATGGAACAGTACCTTCACAAGTTCCTCTGTGTAGAGAGACGTCGTCTACAGCTATGTCAGATCTAGCATCAGCACCTCTGCGCCCTTCAAAGATAATCTGACAGCACAACAACATTTGTAGATTCAGTAAAGGAACATTTCAATGTTTCTTGAAAAAAGACACACAGAACAGTAAGACCAACAAATTGAAGAGCTGTAACTTTATTAATTTGTTTAACTGACCTTGAAGTTGCCTTGAGGTGTGAGGTTGACTAGAGCGCGATGCCAGGTGTTCCCTTTGTCTTCTCTCAATCTCCAGACCTCCCGGGGGTGGTTGCCGTACATCAGGTAGACGGTCAGGCCCATGGTCCAGCTGGAACCGTACATGTGGTACCAGAACTGCAGGCACTGCGGCTGCCGGTCAGAGCATTCCTCACTGACGAGACGTGCTGTATCGCCTTGAGTGGCGCTGTCCCCCTCAATGTAGACATAGTGACCACCTGGAGAAGAAGAGGAGGATGAGGAGAGATGAATGGAGAGAGATGGAAATGGTAAGTATAAAACTGATTTGATATGAACCGAGCAGAGATCAAAATCTACAGTACAATGATTTGGTGAAACTGGCTTATATCCCCTCTAAAAACAGAGCAATATTCATTTATTTAATACAATATATAATATATTTATAATTAGCTTGTAAATTGGGATACTGACTTCCGGTTGTGTGGTCAGAGGAAGGACCAGTCAAGGGCGTTGGGGTGGAGCCACTGTGTCTCGTCCAATCAAAAACATCAGCTAGGTACTGATTCCAGGTGCAGAGGTCTTTCTCAAAATTGCAGTTGATTCTACACACTGTCAAATATTTCAATAATAAACTATAAAAACTTTTTGGGACTTTACAATGAAAAACAAAATGTTTAGACCAAACGTTAATATGGATATATTACAAAAAACTGGAATATTCTATTATCAGAATAATGTTAATACTGTGGTTAACTGTGCTTCGTACCTGGATGGTTGCTGTCTGGCAGAGGTGGGAGAAGCAGATCTGTAACAGGGATTGAATGGTTACATGCAACGTTTTATAAAAGGAACAAGAAGAAGAAGCTGCTTTTTTTCTAGATACAGTTGTATGCAGAAATTTGTGAACCATTATTTAAATTACATTTTGTTGATCTTCTAAGTGAAAATAAGTGAACACATCCTCTACAGAGAACACACTTTTGCGCACTTTAATTGACAATTACAGTTTAATTGCTGAATTTAACAGTTTGCAAATAAATAAAACATATAATATTGCCTGTTCAAAGTTATGGCACATTTTATATTTTATGTTTAATTTTTTTTTCCAAAAGGTTGAACTCAGTAAATAAATAGAAATTGTGCACAAAAAATTTAAGAAATATACCACATTTAAGTTCTCAGTACAGGATGTGTTCACTTGTTTTTGCTGAAAAAAATTATCATTTGACCAGGGTGTTCAAACTTTTGCATTTTTTATTTCACACTACTTCACACTGTCAGCACAACTTTAGTGAACATGATTGTTGTCAGAGCAAAACTTTGTATCTCCAAAAATGGTAACTTTGCAGGAGAAGTAAAAAAAATCCACAACTTTTAATGTAAAATAATGTAAGGAGGTTTATTCCAACAGTTTAAGGACCATTTCCGTTGGTCCATTCATCATGAAATTTTAATACATTGTAAGAGAAGCTGGCATTTTCAAAAAATGTCAAAAAATTTAAATATTACAAATACGGACATATAAGATTTTTCTTCTGACAGCAACAATAAGCTCTATTTGTGTCTGGTTGTGTATGAGTTTATAAGGGGCAGGTCTACACAGGTTGGTGAAGGTGTATATATATGTAGTTAGTGTACATATTTTAACTGTTTCCCTAACCCTTAACCTTAAATTCTGATGTAGATCTGTTTAGTGAAAAAATACCTTCACAAGTTCCTCTGTGTAGAGAAATGTCATCTATAGCCACATCAGATCTAGCATTATCACCTCTGCGTCCTTCAAAGATAACCTGAAAGCACAACAGCGTTTGTTGATTGAGTAAAGGAACATCTCAAAAAAAAATAAATAAATAAAAACACACACATAAAACTGTAATGCAGACAAACTGAAGAGCTGTGTTTAATTACTTCGTTAAAACCTTTAACTAACCTGAAAGTTGCCCCGGGGTATGAGGGGCACTAGAGCACGGTACCAGGTGTTCCCTTTGCTTTCTCTCAGTCTCCAGACCTCCCGGGCATCATTACCATGCAGCAGGTAGAGGTCCAGGCCCATGGTCCAGCTGGAACCGTATATGTGGTACCAGAACTGTAGGCACTGTGGCTGCCGGTCAGAGCATTCCTTACTGACGAGACGTGCTGTGTCGCCGTGAGTGGCGCTGTCCCCCTCAATGTAGATGTAGTGACCACCTGAAGAAGAAGAGGAGGATGAGGAGAGATGAATGGAGAGAGATGGAAATGGTGAGTATAACACTACTTTGTTGTGAACTGAGCAGGGATCAAAATCTACAGTATAATGATTTGGTGAAACTGGCCTGTTTCCTCTATAAAAACAGTGCAATTTCTATTTATTTAATGCAATATATAATTCATCTATAATTAGCTTATAAATTGGGATACTGACTTCCTGTTGTGTGGTCAAAGGAAGGTCCAGTCATTGATGTGGGGGTGGAGCCACTGTGTCTCGTCCAATCAAAAACATCAGTCAGTAACTGATTCCAGGTGCAGAGGTCTTTCTCAAAGTCACAGTCGATTCTGCACACTGTTGAATATTTTAATACAGGTATACATTATTTTTGTGACTATAAACAAAAAACTAAAATGTTAGGAATTTATTACTGAAAACTTGACTATTCCACTATGAGAGTTAAATGTTAATACTGTGTTAAGTTTAATATGTAAACTGGTATGCTTTGTACCTGGATGGTTGTTGGCGCCTCCTGGCTGAGACAAAGCCCTGGAATCTACGCTGAGAGGAGCTGCTGTTTCATTACCAATCAGAGCTACAATGGGGGATGGTTTGGTTAATTACAACATTATAGGAATAGATCTGATATATTAGTTCTGTAACACTTTTATTAAAACAGGTTTAGAAAGTTATTTACAAACAGAATGAGTGAAAACAAGATTGCCAAATTTAAAAAGTTCTATTTAATGTAAGACACTGGTTTTATTTAAATTCACTGTTAAATAAGTGCTGAGAGTGTCACACTCCCTGGTTTCTCATAAACACTATTTTCTAAAAGTAACAATACAAAACAACTTTAAATCTTTTTATTTATTTATTTAATTTGCTAATTTCCCTCTCCGCTGTCAGAATGTATTACAGTGGTGGGTATTTGTGTGCATCTTCAGAGGAAGTGTGTAGGATAAATTCTGACCTGCGTTTGACCTCGACTCATGCAGAGCGATTGAACTGTGGATACAGAAAGAAAAATACTGTATAAATGTAGGAAAAGGTTTTACCATTGCAACAACACTGAATACAGTATATACAGTTGTATGCAAAAATAAACTGCCGTTTATTGAGTGGCAACAGTATGTGAACGTTTAGGATTAGAAGCTAATTTGAAGGTGAAATTAGAGTCAGGTGTTTTCAATTAATGGGATGGCAATCAGGTGTGAGTGACCACCCTGTTTTATTTAAAGAACAGGGATCTATTACATTCTGATCTTCACAACACATGTGTGTGGAAGTGTATCATGGCACAAACAAAGGAGATTTCTGAGGACCTCAGAAGAATTGAGTTCATCAGGCTGGAAAAGGTTACAAAACCATCTCTAAAGAGTTTGGACTCCACCAATCCACAAACAGATTGTGTACAAATAGAGGAAATTCAAGAACATTGAAACGCTCCACAGGAGTGGGCGACCAACAAAGATCGCACCAAGAGCAAGGTGTGTAATAGTCTGAGATCACAAGGGAACCCAGGGAAATTTCTAGGCAACTAAAGGCCTGTCTCACAGTGGCTAATGTTAAATGTTCATTTGTCCACCATCAGGAGAACACTGAACAATAATGTTGTGCATGGCAGGGTTGCATGTAGAAAGCTGCTGCTCTCCAAAAAAACATTGCTGCTCGTCTGCAGTTTGCTAAAGATCACATGGACAAGCCAGAAGGCTATTGGATCAATGTTTTGTGGACGGATGAGATCAAAATAGATCTTTTGGGTTTCAATGAGAAGCGTTATGTTTGGAGAAAGGAAAACACTGCATTGCAGCATAAAAACCTTTGTGAAACACGGTGGTGGTAGTATCATGGTTTGGGCCTATTTTGCTGCATCTGGGCCAGGATGGCTTGCCATCATTGATGGAACAATGAACTCTGAATTACATCAGCAATTTGAAAATGTCAGGACATCTGTCCATGAGCTAAAACTCAAGAGAATGTGGGTCATGCAGAAAGACAACGATCCTAAACAAAGTCTTTCTACCAAAAAATGGTTAGAAAAGAATAAAGTTAATGTTTTGGAATGGCCAAGTCAAAGTCCTGACCTTAATCTTATAGAAATGCTGTGGAAGCAAGCAGTTCATGGGAGGAAACCCCCCCAAAATATCGGAGTTTTGTACGGAGGAATGGGCTAAAATTCCACCAAGCCGATTTGCAGGACTAATCAACAGTTACCGGAAACGTTTAGTTGCAGTTATTGATGCACAAGGGAGTCACACCAGATACTGAAAGCAAAGGTTCACATACATTTGCCACTCACAGATCTGTAATATTGGATCATTTTTCTCAATAAATAAATGACCAAGTCTAATATTTTTGTTTCATTTGTTTAATTTGGTTCTCGCTATCTACTTTTAGGATTTATGTTAAAATATCATTAAGTTTTAGGTCAAATTATGCAGAAATATAGAAAATTCTAAAAGGTTCACAAACTTTTAAGCACCACTGTACATATGTGCATTGTACATTGTACATCCATAACAAACATACCTTGCATAAGCTTCTTTGTTGAAAACACATAGCCAAGCCACTACTACGAGCAGCCACAGCTGTGTGTGTCCTGACATTGTAGATGATGTCCCTTTTTAGATGTTGCTTCTACCTTCAGATTCAGCTCTGGACGTTTCCTCCTTCTCTCCTGCAGTGAATTGTGAGGTTGCGTGTTGAGTCGGGTGTTTTGAAGGCTGGTGCAGGTCACTGTTATCCTGACAGCTGTGGGAGGGGAGAGAAGTCAGGAGGGTCTTAGACGTGACGTCAGGAGACTGTCCTGATGACACTGATGGGGTGACACTTACGGTAAAAGAGATTGATTATTGCGGTAATCGTCCGCTGAAGCCTTATCTGTTTGTTTTGCAAATGTGTTGAAAGTAGGGTCATGTCTTCATTGGTGAGAGGGTGGGGTATGTCCTACATAGTTACAGTGAAGTCCTTATCAGGCTATTGCCCATATTTAAGCACCAAGACAGATTTACAGTGATTCACATTCACTCTAATTATGCTGCTCATAAAGATTTGTAGATTGTCTTGTGGCTTCGTGGACGTGTGAGTTCTCACACGTAGAATTTGTCTTAATGTAGCACAAGCATGGCACTTGCTAAATACTAATGCTAAAAACTAAAATATCGTTCCGAAATCCTCAAAACTTCCAAGCAGAGGACATACTTGACACATTTGGAGTCACGCCCAATAGTCATTTACTAAACTTTGTTTTTGCTGTAGAGACATTTGAATCAAGTCAGTAGAAGGTAATGTTTAAAGCGTAATGTGTGTGACTTGTGTATCCTAAGCTAAAATACACTGTAGTGGTTGTACAATGTGGGTGCCAAAAAGGGAGTGATTTAGAGTTCAAAGCTCTATTTGGATGGGAGTAGTTTTCCATGGGAGGCGGGTAATCCCAGTTTACCACAGGATGTCGTTGTTTATGGTGTTTGGCAATTTGGTATAAATGACAGAGATGGGAAGGGCTACTCGATTTACACACTGGTTTTTCTCCAGAAATGAGTAGAAAACATGAGTAGAAAGCGTCACCATTGGGAGTTCACAGCCAACAGTCAACTTCACCACATAAAATCAAACACTTCTCTGTAATTGTTACACGTTCTGAGTTGTACATGTGAGGTAGGAGAGTAATGTTACATATCAGCATGATTTTAGCCACAGAGAACAAAAGTAAGCTCTTCAAGTGCCTCAATGCTAAGAAACTCTGTTCCCACAGAACCAATAACGTTTTTACCGACATGTCAGTTCACACAGGATTAATATAATATGAGGTTATCTCTATGGGTCATTTTAAAAATAAAAGGTGTCACAATCCGTACTGAAGCGGGAGCTCACAGCTGGTAACTGGACAGGACTAAAGTCACTGAGAAACCCTGGTGAAAGGTGGGGTAACTCCTGGGACCCCAATTTCCCATGTAAAACTAATCCCACCAAATTCTCAAAATCGATCGCCAATGAAATGCTCAGTTGGCTTAAGACCAACACAAAAACTGTCTATGTTTGCCTTTTTCATTCTGCTCCATTAATAGTGTTATTGTTGCAGTTATTTGACTTGCAAAGAACAAAGCCAGAAATTAATAGACTTTCACATCACTTTGTACCAAAAACACAGAGCGTCCAGCAATATAGGAAGCCTTGTGCATCTTTTACATAGTGATAGAGAAAATGGCAGCACACAAAAGCTTCAATTCCACACGCTGATTTGTTTAACCCCTTAAAATCCCAGGGTTATTACATACTAAGGCTTATTATTCAGTAACTGATATCAGTCAATGCAAACGGTTGAGCTGTTCTTAGATTACAGAAGTGTGTAATAAAACTTTGGGCCTGCCGGTGGGCTCTGACCATTTAAGGGTTTATCCATCGCTATTGTGGGCATACACACACTGCAACACTTCTGGTGGAGAATGAAGAAATGGTGAGATGTTTGGTTCGACAGGGTTAAGGCCACCCCAAAAAAGTGTGTATTTCTCCTGTTTAATCTTCTCTTCTATATTAGAAAATGTGTAGATTTTCATAAACTACCTTTTCGAACAAGAAAACACATTGCTAGGAACAGGTCACATTTCTCTGAACAGAAGTCCCAATGTATGCAATAATAAAGGCAGCCTTGTGCATCTCTTATAGAGTAATAGAAAACACACCAGCACATAGAAAACACCAGGTTCACATGATCTGTTTTACTACAGCCAACGTCAACATGCTCACACTGTCACGTCTCTGATAGCAGATTTAAACAACATCGCCAAAATATATGATTGCATTGACAGCAGGATATTTAGTGTGACGAGTTATAATCCGAAATTAGGTGTGCAAGTGTAAAACCCTTTCTGAAGTTTAATGAACTCCACATAATTGTGAGGCTGTATACCAGTTTTTCTTGGGGCTAAATGTCCACGCCGAGAACCACCTAGGAGCTTTTATTTCTGTAGTGATTAGATTCTAATCACAAAAAAATGGACTTGAGCCGACATTAATGTAGGGCTGTAGACTTACCTTTTTATATGAAAGCACTTTAGCAGCATGCAGAGGAACTCATTTGAAAAAATGCTTCATTATTGGAAAGTAACCGAGAGAAATCGGAGGGCTACATGTCGGATAAGCAACAGGGGCTGCCTCACATGAGCTAATGAGCTAAAACTACAGCTAAAGCTGCTGTGCTACTTTGGCCTTGTCAGTCATGCCTTTAATAATGCATCCTTGCCAGTGTGCTTATGTTAATGCTGTGTTTATATGTTAATGGTTGGAGATTAACGGCAAACAGCCATGATGAAGTGATGGGAAATTCTGCTGAAGCCAGCAGCAACGGTGGTGCACTGCAGAAGTCAGCGGAACCTTCCATCAAGAGTTCAAATAGTGATTTCTAGTAACTCGGTTAACCGAGCACTCAAGCACCCGTAATGTTCTTTAGTCAACAAAATAGCTAGGATCATGCCCAATTCACAAGTCCTCAAGAGTCTCAAGTTCAGGAAGCAAAGTATAGCGATCATTCTTGGGTGGAACTTGCATGTTACGTTGGATGAAAGACTCGTCAAACATGAATGTCTCTTTTCACACAATGTATTTTGGCTGAGTGAGATGTAACATTGCCCAGACATGTTCATTATGCATAGACAGTAAGGCCAGAAATGTTTTGTAAATGTAAATCCATGGCCCATCTACAAATGCATTTTTTGTACTTTTGTTAATGTATATAACTTTGGAGTGTGTTATTAATTTCAGATGATATTTATGTTGCATGTATATGAAAGGACAGTGTAAGGATAGACTGTTTCCATTAGGGAGTTCTGAATAGCTATTCCAGCTCGGCAGCTTTAAACTGGATACTCAACGTTTTTTTTTGTGTATGTGATCAACTTTTTATTGCATTTTATATTATGTTTTACAACAAGGGTGGGGAAGGGGAAGGCAGGGTGATGACATACATTTTAGGAATACACACAAATCAAAAATAAAACAAAGACAATACATAAACAGCTACACAATCGAACAACATTACATAATTTAATTGGAAACTAAAGTTCTTGAATAGACTCATATAAATTCTCCCAGTTTCTTATTGTTGACTGTTTTGCCTTGTTAAGCTTTGCTGTAAGATATTCCATCCAAACTATATTTTGAAAACTAAATATCCAGAATCTCATCCCTGAAAGCTGTGGGATGATCCCAAATTGCAAGGCAGTTTTCTTGGTAGCTGTAAAACTGCCACCAGCATCCTTCGCTGAATCGAAGAAAATTGAATAGCTGAGTTGTCATTTAAAAGACCTAAATGTGGCGACAGTGGATCACTTAGATCAAGTACTTTAGATAATGTACCTACTGTAGAGGTCCTTATATCTGCTACTTTAGAACATTCCCAGAACATATGCATAAATGTACCAGGTGCAGAGTTACAAATATTACAGGTATAACCAGAGATACATTTTATTTGATATCTCCTGTAAAGCATTGCATATGCTCTGTGAATTATTTTATAATGGATTAACTGATGTACCAAATTTTTAGAGGAGTGACTTAAATTAGCCCATATAGTGTTCCAATCTAAGGAAGGACCAGTACAGGAAAGCTCTCATTCCCTCAGTTGTTCGACTGCTTTATATGATAGTCCACCAAACTATTATACATAAATGATACTCTGCCCTGTAAGTTGTCCAAAGGCCTTATCCAGTCTAGCAAGGGGTGAGAGTTGAGAGTGCTGCCCCAGGGAACTCCATAGGCTTCAAGTGCAGAATGAAGTTGTAAATAAACAAAGTATGAAGAAGCTGGAAGATTAAAAAGCATCTGAAGCTCCTGAAATGACAGCAAACCACTATCGCCACACATCCTCTACTGTATTTATACCTTGAGAGGGTCAAAAAGAATTACAGGGGGCTCCCGAGTGGCGCAACTGTCTAAGCGTTGGCCATATCATCAGTAGCCGGGAGTCCAAGAGAGCACAATTGGCCTCGCTCTCTCTGGGTGGGTAGGATGGCCCCTCCTTCCCCCCCATCACTTAATGCAGTGCTAGTCAGCGCAGGCGTCTGTTAGCTGACATAACAGATCTGACGGTTGGCGCTTTCCTCCGAGCGCGATAAGCTGTCCAATGACGTTGCGTTCGAAAAGATGTGGTGGCTGGCTTCACAGGTCTCGGAGGAAGCCTGTGTTAGCCTTCACCCTCCTAGCGTTGATAGTATCGTGTGATTGGGGGAGTCCTAACTAGTGGGTGGAATTGGAGACGACTAAATTGGGGAGATAATCGAGTTGTGGTTTACCACAATCGAAAACTTGATATTATTCCATAAAGGAATCTGTAAACAGATTTGGGGTGGAACACCCTTAAACTTCTCCACTTTTCTCCAAGTACCCAGGGAGTTCGACATAATATACAACCCAACCTGGAATTACGATGATACTCAACGTTTTGTAGCGACTCCCAAACAAAAGTTGTAGTGAATAATTTATAAATTGTGGCAGAAACTGAGTTCTGTGGTCCACTTTCTTTTTAGGTTGAATTGGATTTTTTACAATTTTCTGTAAAACTTGTGCAAGCTGTCAACAGTTGCTACAAAAGAATGTATTTGTGGATGGAGCCTGGACAAGTCAATTATATTAGTATAATATAAGGTGTGTTATCGCAGCTCTGCCTGATCGCCTAGCTTGATAAGGTATCAGAAGGTCCAAGTTGGAGTATGATATTGATCTAATATGGGAAGGTGTACTCATTCTGGTCAATGGTATAATTGCTAGATTGATAGATGTAAAGTCCAGGGTTCAGGTTTAATTATGCTTCTTCCTGTGTTTCATTGCACATTCTGCAAAACATTAAACACTGTTGTCACTGTGTTGACACAGTTCTCATTTGGCCATGAA